TGGTACTTTGGACATGTCCTAGGAAAAGATCATTATATTTGGCAAAGTCCTGATCACTGAAACATCCTCATTGAAATAAATTGGTACAGCGGCTCCTTCATCAATAAATTGATTGTGAGGATGGATTAATATATGAGTCATAACTGCCTGGATGGGACAAAATATCAATATTTATCCAGGCCATTGTTGGAAACAGAAAGTGGGTCAGTAGATTATGGTTCTGTACTAGGCATTAGGATAGCGTGTACACCATTTGCTAAATTATATTGTGACTTTGTAAGTTAGCATGGAAGAGTGATCTATTTCTGCACTTCCATTTAATGACCCTTTTCCCAGAGGTAATTGCCATGTCTAAAAGACTTTGATAATAGGTACATCTTATAGGCATTACAGTGACTGAATATAAATAAAATATTTTTCATGTACTGAGAAAGGTGGAGTATGTTTAGAAACAGAGAAATAGGAAACAAGCTTTCCTAGCCAAACACACATTTATTTACTTAACTTATAAACCCAAACAAAATTTAAAATAGTGAGGAGGGAGCACATATGTAGGCAGAAGATATAATGGCCCCGAAAGAAGAAAATTAATGTGGTTTGCATGTGGGAAAGGAGCCAAGATAAAAAATGGCTAAATTTAGAGGAATGAAATCTAGGAGATGTTTGAGTAATTTTGCTGGAGAAACGCTGAGAGGCCTACTTTTCATATTTTTGAAGCAAAAAACTAGGTTACAGTCCCTGTATATTTTAGTATACGTTAGTCTCTGGGCCTGGTATTGCTTATTGCTTATGCGCCTCTTCTCCCCAGCTTTAAAGGGAAAGCTATCCAGTAACCTCTGCCAGTGTGAAAATCCAGTTGGCTTTTTTGCTTGTCTTAGTTCATGCACTAAGCCTACTTGGATGAACCTGCTTTAATTCAAGATCTCACACAATGCCTAACACACTCTGGCTCTGAAGTTTGTATCCTTCTCTCCCAAGGCAGACAGCATGCTTCTCAGCAATAATAAGCAACTAATTGGGGAAAAGATCAGTGTGAATGAATAAAGACTTTAATTATCGAGCTCTTTAAAGAAGATATTTGGAAATACTTAGATGTGGCAGTCTATTTCTGCAAAGATTTCAACTTTTTGATCTCCTTGTTTTTTTCTTTTATATTTTCGTGTATATATATATATATTTATATTTACATGTAAATATATATATATATTTACATCCCATCATTAAGTTTGACTAAATAAAACATGGATTGGGAGTACTAGCAAATAAAATGTGTCTTAATAAACTGATAATAATTATTTATAATTGTGATCCTGATTTATGTGTAAATCATGTTTTAGTCATTAAAACATTTTATTTTCATAGCTAAAACCTTGTAAAACATTGCTAGCATTATATGATTGCTATACTCTTTTGTTCCTTCAATAAAATAAGCATACTGCGAAGATTGACAGAAGACCACCACTTTGCCCTATGTTTGAAAAAAAAAACGAACTATTCAAAATTATATAGAATTAACTTCAGGAATGTTGGTGACTCAGTGATTAAGTTTCTAAGAAAAAAGGTAACTGATTTGAACCCAACAGCCACCCCACAGGAGAAAGACGCAGTTGTTTGCTTCCATAAATTTTATAACTCTTAGAAGCCCTTTTGTGTAGTTATACATTGTCTTTAAAAGCTGCAATGACTAAGAATTGATGGAATGGAAAAAAATAAAATTATCTCGAACTTATGAGCTCACACCAAGACTGCAAATCCTCATCCAAGGTATAGGTATCTATCTATAGATAGATAAAGCTATCTATCTTTATTCAGTTTTCCAAGGTAGTACATTCAAAAGATTGGGTGGGAAGGCAAAAACAAAAATACCCCCCCACCCCACACACAAACATTGGTAGGACTTTTATATTCCAAGTCTTGTCTCATGGGTAAATAAACATGAACATCTAGGGAAGGAATCTAAAGCTTTAGACATTAGTCACCTCACCTCTAGAGAACGAATATTCCAAAAAACACATGGTGTGTGGTGTTTTTTGTTGTTGCATCTTTCATTTTATTTATTTATTTATTTATTTATTTAACATTTTATTAGGGGCTCATACAACTGTTATCCCAATCCATGGTGTGTTTTTATACTAAAGTACCTATAGATGGGCCTTGGTTCCCCTCCCCGCATTCCCCCTCACATTGGTATGATTTTTTGTTCTTCGATGTCTGATATCTGATCCCTTTGACACCTCATGATCACATAGGATGGTGTGCTTCTTCCATGTAGGCTTGGTTGCTTCTGAGCTAGATGGCCGCTTGTTTACTTTCAAGCCTTTAAGACCCCAGATGCTATATCTTTTGATAGCCGGGTGCCATCAGCTTTCTTCATCACACTTGCTGATGCACACATTTGTCTTCAGCGATCATGCTGGGAAGGTGAGCATCACGTGGAGGAGATGAGCCAGTCAGGGTGCAGTGTAGCATCGATGAAACATACAACTTTCCTCTAGTTCTTAAATGCTTTCTCCTCCCCCCTAACATGATCCCAATTCTACCTTACAAATCTGGCTAGACCAGAGGATGTACACTGGTACAGATAGGAACTGGAAACACAGGGAATCCAGGACAGATGAAGCCCTCAGGACCAGTGGTGAGAGTGGTGATACCAGGAGGGTGGAGGGAAGGTGGGGTAGAAAGGGGGAACTGATTACAAGGATCTACATATAACCTCCTCCCTGGAGGACAGACAACAGTAAAGTGGGTGAAGGGAGAGGCCAAGCAGTGTAAGATATGACAAAATGTTAATAATTTATAAATTATCAAGGTTTCATGAGGGAGGGGCGAGCGGGGATGGAGGAGAAAAAATGAGGAGCTCAAGTGGAAAGCAAATGTTTTGAGAATGATTAGGGCAACAAATATACAAATGTGCTTGACACAATGGATGTATGTATGGATTTTGATAAGAGTTGTATGAGCCCCCAATAAAATGATTTTTTTTAAAAGTACCTATACACTTACTGGCAAGATTATTTAAAATGCTTCCCCTCCCCCAACTCAACAGCAATTAATAATAACAAAGAATTTCTAAGGCTCTTCCTAAGCTAGGTTCTATGATTCCTTCATTATATTCTGGACTTAGGAAATGGAAGTAGGAGAAAGACCAACAGTCTGCTAATACAACATAAATGTTATACCTCTTCTGGCTTTTATTTGTGGTAAATGTCCATTTTTAGTATTTTCACTTCAGCTTAATTGCCTTGCTAGGATATAGACGCAATTATAAACAATAAACCCAGTCCTTATTTATTGATATGGTTACATTCCAAAAAGCAGGTCGGTATATGAATGAAATCAGCATTATGCAAAAACAAAAAAATAATCATGTCAGATCACCAAATAGAGGATGATTGTGCCAGTATATTGCTGTGGTTGGGAATCAACATGTCGGTTCTGATTCACAGCAACCTTATGCACACAGCAGAACAGCCTCAGAATGATGGAGTATTCTGTTAGCATTGAATCCAACATTTTACCATTCTGACTCTCATAAGTGAGAAAAATTTATAGTGAAGGCAATAAGCAAGGGCCTTACATTAAAATCCATCCACAGCTATTTATTCAGTACTAAGAATTCTGACAAATTTCAGAGAGCAGAAATTCCACCGGCCCAACCCTCTGCCATCCTCACCAGAGTCGTTAAGTTTGAGCTCATTGCTGAAGCTACTATGTCAATCCATCTCCTTGACAGTCTTCCTCTTTTACACTGACCCTCCACTTCACCCTTTCCAGGGAGTGGTCTTTTGTGATAACCTGTCCAAAGTACGTGAAAAGAAGTTTTACTATCTTCACTTCTAAGAACCACTCTGGTTATAATTATTCCGAACAGACTTGTTTGTTCTTCTGTTAGTCCATGATATTTTCAATATTTTGTTCAACACCATAATTCAAATGCATTGATCCTTCTGTGGTTTTTCTAATTCATTATCCAACTTTTAAAAAATGCCTTATAATTAAAAAAATCATTTTATTGGGAGCTCATACAACTCGGATCACAATCCATCCATCCATTCATTGTGTCAAGCACATTTGTATATTTTTTGCCATCATCATTCTCAAAACATTTGCTTTCTACTTGAGCCCTTGGTATCAGATCTTCATTCCCCCCTCTTGGCCCCCTCCCTCATGAACCCTTGATATTTTATAAATTATTATTATTTTGTCACATCTTACACTGTTGACATCTCCCTTCACCCACTTTTCTGTTGTCTGTCCCCCAGGGAGGGAGTTATATGTAGATCCTTGTCATTGGTTCCCCCTTCCTACCCTACCTTTTATATTCACAAGAGGTAATTTAAAACCTCATAGCTTGGGTCTGGGGCACCTTAGTCTTCAAATATGGTATACATTATTATATAGCACTATAATATATATTATTATATCATGTAGGCTTATTGTTTAAGCTAAGAAAAAGTTTTATACTATAATTTAAGAATTTCACTCTTATATAGCTGCCTGGTGGCATCATTATAGAACTGCCAAACCACTCAGAATCCTAGCACCACGGAGTTGACATATACTCTTAACCTCAGCAGCCAAGTTGCTCTTTCTCACACTTTTGTGTTCATTGTTACTAGATGCACAAAATAGTTAGATAGCAGGTGTTTTAGAACAGTTGTAAATACAAAATGTCTAAGAATGAGATATTTAGTAAATGTGGAGTAAGTGTATATCTACATGCATTGAGAAGCTATGAAGACTCTTGGGACAAAAGACAATAACAGGAAGGTAAATAACACAAATCTAAGCATTTATTTTTTAGTCCCCCCCCTACACACAACCCCCTATATTTTATCACAAAATCATCTCTGGGTAGTGGTACCAATAAAATCTACATCAATGATCACTTCTTGAGAGAAGGAACAGCACATGGGAGGTTTAAATGAGTGTATCTGACCTGACTGAGGTCTGTGGGTACCCCAAACGAGAACAAAACAGAAGTAACCAAGCCATTGTACCTTTTTTACAAAAAGGACCTTCATATGGTGAGTTGGTGCAATCACAGAAGTAGCCACTGTGCTTCTCCACACATTTCCCCCCATTGTGACAGGTGCTGCTGTAACTGCTACAATGGCCAGGGCAGCCCGGCCGGACTCCAGATGTGACCTTTGCTCTCTCTTCAAGGTCCAGCTTCTGCCCATTCAAGTGTAGTGAGCGAATACATCCCAGGAAGCCTTTCTGTCTTGATGCTGTTCCTCCTAAGAGGTAGAAAATAAAGGAGGAGAATGTAAGGTATTGTAGGACTCAGATGTTTCAGGTTTAATGTAAGCAACTATACCAGTTAACGATTAATCTTTTGTCATGCCATGTTGATCATTTTGGTAGAGGAAAAAAATCCTAGGGGAAAAATTCAAGTTGGTCCATACTGAATACTAACCCTTCCCAACAAACAACAACCACAACAACAAAAAGAGAGACTAGTTTATGTGAAATCCTGTACTATATTTCAGAGTAAATTTACTTTGGAAATTTCCCTAGAAAATAAAATGCATTCTTTCACAGTCTACAGTTAATTGTCATTTGCAAAAGAATCCACTGACATCTGTTCTCTAGTCTAGTATGCCTGTTTATGGTAAGAAGTAGTTAAGCTCAAGAAAAACGGTGCATACTTGGAGTTCAACTTAATTTTACATTAACATGACAAGGCTATAGCTACCAGTGGTTTGGTCAAATACTGGACTAGTTTCTCTTTCACAATATCATCTAATGTAGTCACCCTAGACAATATTAATCGAGTGTAATACAATCAAAGAATCAGTTGAAATATGTGTATTTTAGTTCTAGAGTATACGTAGGTACTATGACTCCCTCTCTCTTTACTCTGTACTCTTAACATTGACTGACTTACAGATGTTAGGACACAAGTGTGGAGAACTTTCTGTTCTGCTGTCTGTTCCTTGAATTTTGGAACTTGACATCACCAATAAACCTAGGAGCTAATCCCTTAAGGTAAATCAAACCATCAATCAATCAATAGATCTATTAATAGATGAAAACCTAAACTAAACCAAACTCATTGCCATCGAGTCGATGTAAACTCATAGACACCCCAAATTAGAACAACCTCAGAATGATTGAATATTCCGTTAGCATTGAATCCAACATTTTACCATTCTGACCCTCATATGTGAGAAAAATTAATATCGAAGGCAATAAGCAAGGTCCTTACATTAAAATCCATCCACATCTATTTATTCAGTACTAAGAATTCTGACAAATTTCAGAGAGCAGAAATTCCACCTGCCCATAAAGAATACTAAGTTAGTAAAAAGTACTATACCTGGGTCCAGCTTATGCACACACAAGTTTATTTAAAAGAAAACATACATGAAACATGTCTTTGTATTTTAGTCTGGGTACTTTAGAGAAACAAATCCACAGAAAAAAATATATAAAAGAGAGATTTTTACATAAAAGGTAAGTGCACATCAAGAAAACATCCCTACCCAGTGCTGCCCAAGCCCACAAGTCCAACATTAACCCATATGTCTGACACCAATCCACAAAGCCCTCCTCCATCTCACAAAACACATGCAATGATGCCGACTGCAGGAGGAAAGCTGAATCAGTGAGCGTGTAAGCATCTCATTGCTGGCTAGGGTCTCCACACGGCTGCTCTAGCACCCAGGGCTGCACTGGAATAGGTCCATGTGGCTTCTCCTCAGGGATGTCTTGCAGGAAGGGAGCCTTGCAAGCTGAAGCAGGGAACTGGCTAAGGCAGCTGCACCCTGGTCCGACCATCAGAAAGCAAGAGACCCGAGAACTAGAAAGGCAAGGCTCACCGAGCCATTTATCCCTCCATCCTTCAATTAAACCCACATGTGTTCATTGGCCAGGTTCACACAATAAACTTTAACTAACTCACTTTGTGATGAAAGAATGGATGCAGATAAGTTATCTCAGTAATGCACTTTTCTTAGTCTCCTTAAGGTACCTTAAAAAATTTTTTTTAAAGAATGGTTGATGAAGTGATTTGTTAGGTGTGTTAAATTTATGGCAGGATGATGAGCTCAGGTTATGATGGCCATTTGCTGGTATCCTAAATGGGTAAATTTAATAGATTTTCTCAAATGACACAAGACATCATTGGGCCTTATGATGAAGACGCTTTTAGATTCTTAAAATTTGGATAGGAGATGTGTGCCAAGAATTTTTTTCAACATGATTTTTTTTCATTACCTGTCCATCCTTTGATCGCAGCAAAAACTGTCATAAGAGAATTTTCTTTGGAAACCTTCTGCCACCCAATATACCAACCTGATTTTGCCTTTCCGGACTTTACTGCGTACCAGTGAGGATGACAGAGCTGCTGTTTGATATTGTGTAAATCAAAGACTGTAAAATTCATCGCTGAAAGATTAGAAAGATGGATATATCTCCTTGTGAAGTGCATGTCCTACATAAAGGATGAATAAAAAATAGCTTCACATTTTACTGTTTTTGTTTAATAAATGCTTTTATTATAAAAATATATGTTCTAAACCATTAATTTTTAAATCTGGGAAGATTTGCCAAAAAAATCAAATTTTTCATCCAATAATTCATGTCGCTAGTCTTAGAGGGCTCATCAGCACCTATCCTGCCAATAAGCCTGGTCTTTTTATGACGGAGTTTTGCTTCATAGTTTGCTCCTTTTCTATGTAGGACCTATTGTGATTCCTATTGTGTAGTGGTAGCTGAGACCACCTAGTTATTCTGGACTAGGGTCGTGACATCTGAAACTCTTTTGTTTTCTTCATTCTGCTTTGTTCCTGATGGGGAGAGACCCGTAGTTTCACTTTAGATAGCCAGATAGTCAATCACAAGTTTAAAGACCTTGATCACTACTCACCAAAGCAGGACAGGATACAGGATACTCTTTAACTGTTTTTTTAACTGTTTTTTCCTGGCCCTTGCCCAAGACTATTTTTCTGAACTCCAGGCCCAGTCACTTAGTCCCACCAGTGTTTTACTATTGCGAAGATGTTTTCATAACTTTGCCCCTTGTGTGCTCAATACTATTTTTGGTTATTTTAAAGCATATCTAAATACATATATAGAATTACCTTCTGTCAAACATATATACTCTCCTTCCTCAACCTGTTCAGCTTGCACATCTACAAGTAACCACTTGTGGATTATTATTAGTATTATTATTGCAGGATTACGAATGTATTAACCTATTTTGTTTTCTACCATTGTGCCTATTTCAGTATCTTTCTTTGCTTAATTTTATATTGATCTCCCCTTATGGTATATTGTCTTCCATAAAGCTAATTTCATAAAGCTAATATATGTCTACCCACTAGTTAGTGAAGTAAAAGAGCTGAAAATATATTTTCAAAGGGCAACTAGAAAAAACACAAAGTAAATTATTATCATGAAATGTACAAAGACCAGGAGTTATAAATCCATGAAAGAAGAACATGCATAGCATATAATAAGTTGAAGGACATAAATCAATGATTCAAGGCCCAAGTTGAAATATGGATTCTATGGACAAAATGTTGCAAGATAAATGAAGAATCAAGAAAAAAATGAAAAGACTACACAGAATCACTGAACCATATCTTCTGTCCATTTTTAAACTGGAAGTTTGACCTTTTCATTCTAGAGATATAGACATTTTTAGAAATTCTAGAGATTAGTTCTTTGTCTCATGTGGCAGTTACGTAATCTTCTGTCAACTTGTGAAGGGGCGGAATCTAGCCTGTCAATCAGGTCGCAGCTGGATGGCCTCATTTGGAGGCACAAAAGAGACAAATAGCTGACAGGAGGCCGGATGCACATAGACACTCTGCTAGTCTTCCTGCTGACAAGCCACATGGAGACCCCTGATGGAACTAGAGCCCTGGAGCTGTAGGAGCCACATGGAGACCCATGCCAGCGCTGAGATGATTCCACGACCACTGCAGTCACAAGACTTTCCACCCACTGGCCTGTGATCTTCCTGCATTCAGTGCCATTGCATGTGTTGTGTGAGTCTGAAGAGGAAATTATAGATTGGCATTAGAATATGGTTAATATCAGACTTATGGATTTGATCTAGACTGGGCTGGGATAATTTCTTAATATACAATTACTCTTTGATATAAAGTTCTTCATTACACACATATGAGTGTCTATGAATTTGTTTCCCTAGTCAACCAAGACTAACACATCTGATGATGTGTTGTTGACATTTCCCCCCCAATTTGTGAGATCTCTTTTAATTTCTGATGCATATAATTATCTAATTTTTAACAGTCTCTAAGCATGTAATTTCTTTTGCTGTTTGTGTTTCCTTTCTGATACTGTTTGAAGATTTACTTCTTCCATGAATCGGGGGTCTCTAAGTTTGTTCGTTTTTTTATGGTCTTGATAGCTTTAAGTTTACGTTTAGATCATTGATGGATTTTAATTCATTTTTTATTTGGTGAGATATATACAGCCTGTTTCATTTTTCTGCAAAGGGGTATACACTTTTGCTAGCATCAGTAATTAAAGAGAAAGCTTTTTTCCTCGTGTACTGCATTTCAGCCCTTTGACAAAGAGCGGTTGTTCTTGGTGGACAGGTTTTCTTCTGGGTTCTCCATTCTGTGCTACATGTCAGTTGCTGCATCTATACCGAGCTGTTTTGACAACTCTGGCTGTTTGGCAGGTGTTGACATTGGAAATAGATAAACTTTCTACATTGTTCTTCGTCTTCTTTTATTTTTAATCATTTTATTGGGGGCTCATACAACTTTGTTCTTCTTTAGTTGTGTTTTGCTTATTGAGGGTCTCTTTCCTATATATACAAAGTTACAGATTAGGTTTACCATCTCTTTAAAGAATACTGATAAAATCTGGGTCAGGATTGCATTCTATCTGTTGATTGTTTTGGGTAGTATTGAAATTTTCACAAGGTTAAGTCTTCCTTGTGAAATATGTGGTTTTTCTCTTTTTATAAAAATATATGGTAGATTATGTAGATTTTTTTCTAATAATGAACCATACTTGTATACCTAATACAAGCCCAATTTGGTCATAAAATGTAATTTTTGATATCTTATTGTATTCTATTTCCTAGGATTTTGTTGAGAAATATTACATGTATGGTCATAAGATATATGGAACTATAATTTTCTTTTTTAGTGGTGTCTATTTTTTAATAATGTATGTGGTTTTTGTATCAGGATTATGCTCACTTTATAATTGGAATTTGGGATACCACCTCCTTTTTTATACTGTGGAATAA